TTTGAGCTAGGGTTGTCGTGTCTTGCTCAAGGACACACTCCAGTGACCACCCATCTGATCCCCGTGTCACCGACACTTGCTTGGCATTGCTTGAGTCAAAACTCACTACTCACTTAGCCACTGGAGCCCCCAATATACAATGTCTTCAAATCAGCAACACAGCCTTGGTGACACTGGTACTTGCCACTTCGTTACCTCAGACCTACCAAGTTCTATCTGACATCTCTGTCCGTTTGGGTTGCATGCTTACCCCACGAGGTCAGAAAACAAGTGTTCTGTTTGCCTTAACAAAATGGTAAGAATATTCGGGGGAGTTGTTTTTAAGATATTCAAAGAACTGCCATCGAAAAAGCTTGGCATGTGAAGCTAAAAGTATTTTACGTCAATTTTCTAGAAACTAGGAACCGAGCCGATAGAACTTTGTAATTCTGTAGTAGCAACGTGTGCACGTAGAGTTGATCTCTTTAGTACTTGGCACTGTCCTTTCTTGAGGAGCATTTATGGGATTTTTAAATTTTTATGTTATGGTTGAAAAAATTAAAGCCATCAGAATATTCTTTTAAAATAGTTTAACATCGAACACAAAAGTACTTAAAAATCAAGAAACCTAAGAGCATCATTATAAATGTGATATCTTAATATAAAAACATCATAATATCAAAACAAACAAAAAACATGCTAACGTACACCGCGAAACACATTCAAACTACTTTTAACGTCAAAGCGCAAAAGGTTGCTCTTATCAAAACACAAAAACACTTTAAGTTCAAAGAGCAAATACATTTTGACACCAAAATACGAAAGCATTTTAACATCAAAACACAAAAACTTCAAAACATGAAAAAAGAAAAATCTCGTTCAAATTTCCAGTAATTTGAGGCGAAGTAACTGTGTAAAGCTAAAATTCACTTTGATTTTTGTGGTTGCGTCCCTTGTGTAAAGGAGGGAAGGGGATTATGTGTCGAGACAAATACATAATGCATGGATAAGAATGTCATCTTTCCTTCTGTTTTATGGAATTTTTGTGTTCTTTCTCTCTTTTTCCTCGACACCTTTATCCCTATCCCTACACCTGGGGTCATTTTGTACCCCAGACTTTGTATCCTTACATTTTAGAATAGATCTAGATCTACTTCTAGTGTGAAGATCTCTTTGAAACTTTCAGTATTTCTCAAAAAAACATTTTGACAGACTGCTAGTCAAAGCGTACGGATCGGATTTCCCAGTAAATTTCCTCTTTGGAAAGTGGTGGCACGTCGTATGGATACGATAATAAAACACGACGCACAAAAATATAATCTGTGTGACATTTTACTGAAAATTGCTGATTAAATTGACAAGAAACAAATGTAAATTTGCGTTTGCCAAAAACACTAATTATTGAGTTTTGGGAAGTCACCGTTACTTGGCGGCCATCTCTCACAAAATTTATTTTTGACACCAGGCGACCTACACCTCCTTCAATCGCAAATGTCTTGATCTTCTTCTCTCTTTTTTCCTTTAAAACCAGTGTGTAGAGCTAGCTCCTTATGTCATGAGATCACAGAAATGTAGCACATCTTGTATGTTGCGGTTCGCTGGTGGTGGTCACTCTTTAACGTAACAGCTCTGACCAGAGAGCGAAATGAAAACCAAAAAAAAAAATAAAAGAGAAAAGCAAAGCCACTTCTCAACAAAAGAATGAAGTAGAAAAAAGAGTTACCAAGAGGATCAGCGTT